GCCTTCAAGGACAGATGGAGCTGGACACTTGTTTACCTGGGGAATATGCCAGACATGATACAAGCCAGAGAAGAATTCAGCTAAAATTTTTAATGAACTGCTGAAAGCCAAATGTGGGCTAGTGTCAAAGTTACAGATGTCCTGGGAGGTGCAGACACAAGATCTCAAAGTCACTTGCAGGCTCTTCTCCACAGACTTCCCAGGACTCAAGAGAAAGAGTGCAGGACTCGGGGAAAGAAGCAGCAGCTACTAGGGGTAAGGCATGAGGCTGATGCACAGCCTAAATTCTTCAACTCTTCTCTCTCCAAGAGAACAAAAACCTTCAGGAACTGAGGTAAAGATGGCAGACTATGACGACCTGAACACACAAGTAAAGTCCCACTACAGCTGGAGGAAGGAAAAGAACACTCTATCCCAATGCAGGCAGAATATGCATATGCCATGAGTCCAGATTACCACAGGCCTCCTGAAGCTGCGGAAAGGGCAACATCACTAAGAGGGCCCTACTCCCTGGACTTACCATCACAGAGCCTGCCTAAGGCTGAGGCTTCATCAGAACAACGGAGACTGTCTTTCTAGTAACAGCAGTCTACTGCCGAGGGAGAGTCAGCAGTGCAAAGAGAGACCTTCTCTGAGGCACACAGGTGCAACGGAAGAACCAAGAGCTGAGGGTGGAATACTAACAGAGTGGGGCAAAAGTAGTTTCACAGTTGTTTGTATGAAAAATAATACAATAATTAATAAATAATAATAAAGAACAAACTGTATTTCATGGACTCACAGCTATAAACCTATGCTTGCCCTACCCTGTCTTATAAAAACAAATCCCTCTGGCCTGGCAAATACCTAAGGCTCCGCCCCTTCCAATGTAACAAGTGCACCGAGACAAAGAAATATGGCCCAAATGAAAGAACAGATCAAAGCTCCACAAATATAACTAAGCGATGAACAGATAGCCAACCTATCAGATGCACAGTTAAAAACACTGGTAATTTGGATGCTCACTGAATTAGTTGAGTATGGTTGCAAAATGGAGGAAAAAGCGAAGGCTATACAAAGTGAAATAAAGAAAAATATACAGGGAACCAACAGTGAAGGAAAGGAAACCGGGACTCAAATCAATGACTGAGAGCCGAAGGAAGAGATAAACATTCAACTACAACAGAATGAAGAAAAAAAGAACTGAAAAAAAATGAGGAAAGGCGTAGCAACCTCTGGAACAACTTTAAATGTTTCAACATCCAGATCATAGGGGTGCCAGAAGAAGAGGAAGTGCAAGAAATTGAAAATTTATTTGAAAAAATAATGAAGGGGAACTTCCCCAATCTGGCCAAGGAAATAGACTTCCAGGAGATCCAGGAAGCTCAGAGAATCACAAAGAAGTTCAACCCAAGGAGGCACACACCAAGGCACATCATAATTACATTACCCAAGATTAAAGATAAGGAGAGAATCTTAAGAGCAGCAAGAGAGGAGACAGTAACCTACAAAAGAGTTCCCATAAGACTATCAGCTGATTTCTCAAAAGAAACCTTCCAGGCAAGAAGGGGCTGGAAAAAAGTATCCAAAATCATGAAAGGCAAGGACTTACATCCAAGATTACTCTATCCAGCAAAACTATCATTTAGAATGGAATGGCAGATGAAGTGTTTCCCTGATAAGTTAAAGGAGTTCATCACCACCAAGCCCTTATTATATGAAATGTTACAAGGACTTATCTAAGAAAAAGAAGATCAAAACTATGAACAGTAAAATGACAACAAGCTCACAACTATCAACAACTGAACCTAAAAAAAACAAAAACAAGAACAAATTAAGCAAGCAACTAAAACAGGAACAGAATCATAGAAATGGAGATCAGAGGGGAGGAGGAGGGGGCAGGATTGGGAAAAGGTACAGGGAATAAGCAGCATAAATAGTAGATATAAAATAGGCAGGGAGAGGTTAAGAATAGTATAGGAAATGGAGAAACCGAAGGACTTATATGTACAACCCACAGACGTGGACTAAGGTGTGAGGAAAGCTGGGGTTGGGGGTGGGCGGTACAGAGTGGAGGGGAATAAAAGGGAGAATAAAAAACCCCTCTGGTAAACCAGCTCACATCTTCAACACAAAGTAGCCAGAGGAACCTGAAGCCTGTGGTGCACTGAGAAAAATAACAGCAACAAGAAAAGCCAAAGCGAACTCAACTCTTGACTAGACTAACCCACCCACCAACCCTTCCCCCACCTCACTAAAAGGCAGTGTGAAAGACAAGACAGGCCCACGCACAGGCACAAATCCAATTTACCTCAGCCTCTAGTGTCCTAAACAAGATGCCCAACATACAACAAAAAATAACAAGACACACAAAAAGCAAGAAAGGAAACAATCCTTGGTCAAGAAACAAAGCAAACAACATAAGCAAAGTATGACAGACCCAGATATCAGAAGTATCAGGTAGGTAGTTTAAGATTATTATAACATGTTAAAGCTTCTTATGGAAAAACTGTAGAACAGATAGGGAATTTCAGCAAAGAGATAGAAACTAGAAGAAAAAATCAAATAGAAATTTTAGAAAACAAAAACATGGTAACAGAAATGAAATGAGTTTATGCTTCAACAAACTCATCACTGCCAAGGAAACAGTGAACTTGAAAATAGATTAATAGAAAATACGCAAAATGAAACACAGCTGTGCACCGAAAGAATCACACAGAACACCAAAATTAACAACATTATGAACCATCTTGACAGTTACAGATCACTCCACCTGCAACAGCAAAACACACATTCTTGTCACATGCACAAGGAAATCAAGACAGATCATATACTGAGTCAAAAAACAAAATTTAAAAAAATAAAAAATAATCAAAGTCATGAAATATGTATTATCAAATAGCTTGACACAACTATTAAGTCAAATATATCATAGATCTAAATGTAAAACCTAAAATGTAAGAGAAATCTTTGTGACCTTAGGTCAGGCAAAATATTTTCAGTTATGACACAAAAAGACTGAACCTAAAAAAAACAAAAACAAGAACAAATTAAGCAAGCAACTAAAACAGGAACAGAATCATAGAAATGGAGATCAGAGGGGAGGAGGAGGGGGCAGGATTGGGGAAAGGTACTTTATCTGGACTTTATCAAAGTTAAGATACTGAAAAATGCTGTTAAGGTACCGAAAGGCAAACAAAAGACTGAGACATAATTTTTGTAAATTACATATCTTATAAAAGATTTCTATCAAAATGCATAAAGAACTTCAAAATCAATAATAAGAAAAGAAAGACCTTACTTATGTTTTAAAAATGTGCAAAAAATTGAAGAGACACCACCAAAGAAGGTGCATGGATGGCAAATAAACACTTGAAAATATACTCACATTGTTAGTCATTAAAGAAATGCAAATTAAAACCAAAATAATACACCTGTACATGCTCGCTAGAGTAACTATAATTTCAACCAACACATAACAAAGATTGACAATATCGACAAGAATGGGAATTTCATACTCTGCTGGTGGAAATGCAAAATTATACAGCTACTTTGAAATTCCACTTTGGAAGTGTTTTATAAAGTTAAACATATACTTACCACATGGCCCAGCACTCCCATTCCTATGTGTTTTTCCTCTCAAAATAAAAATGTCACACAAAAGCCTATACACAAATGTTTATAGTGATTTTATTTGTAATCACTAAAAACTGAGCACAACTGAAAATATCCCTCACCTGGGGAATGGATAAACAAACTGTGTCACATGCACACATTGGAATAATGTAACTCAGAAATAAGAATGAACTACCAATATATGCAACAAGATGGATGAATCTCAAATGCAAATGCATATGGTAAAAAAAAAAAAAAAGGCCAGATTTAAAATGCTACATATTGTATCATTTCACTGATACTAAGAAAGGTAAAACTATATGGACAGAAAACAGATCAGTGGTTGTCAGGAGCTAGAGATGGAAGGAGGAATTGACTACAAAGGGGCATGATAGAATTTTTGGAGTGATAGTTCCTGATTTCTTGATTGTGATGGTGATTACACACCTGTTGGTGTTTTTCAGAACTCTCAGAACTGTACAATAAAATGAATTAACTTTACTGCATGTAAATTATAGTTTAACTTTTTTTAACTAAAGAAAAAAATCACTAATTTTTAAGACATTTCAAGCTATCTCATTTAAGAATTAACTAGGCTTTCTTAAATCTAAGACACCTTAGTGAACTTTCCTCCAGACCAAAAACACTTTATTTTGACTTTATTGTCAAAATAAAAATGACAAAGTATAGCAAGGTCCAAACTGAGTCTTAATTGTCTAGTCTTATATGCATTCCAAGGCTCTATACTCTATAGGGTAAGGGCTGGTGCCCTGAAATGCTTCCACATTTTATTTAACCAATGTAAAGTTTAGGATCTATCAACTCTCCTACTGGAAAGTTGGGATTAACCGGTTGGGGAAGGGAAAACATGAAGATTTGTTTAAATTTGTATTCCACCTTAAGAATTTTTTTCTGATCTACAATAAGATGTCTTTTCATGCAAAGAAAGTAAAAGGGGGAGAGAAATGTCAGTAGGAAAAAATAGACTATGATGCTCATATATCAAAATCAAACCAGATACTAAAAAAAACTGCCATATCATATAAAATATGCTCTGACTTCAATCACACATATCTAGGATTTCCCAGTATTACTTAAATGTCCTTGTGGTAATGCAATAAAACTTTTTTGAATAAAAAGTTTCTATTTTATTCAAAGGAGTTTACAAAGAGTGATATAAATGAAAACAAGAAAGCATTTGTGGTCTTTGACAAAGAACCATAATTCATTCAAGTATCTGAATGCTGACTATATACTTACTAATCATTGGTTAGGCACTGATTAAGCATTACTTGAATGCTGCTCAGAATACAAAGCTGAACAAACAAAACAATACCAGAAAAATGCTATGTTTAAAGATAGAACACACTTCTGTCTTTTTTTTTTTTCCAATAGACTATATTTACCTCAAAGCCAAGTCTATCCTTTTCTTTCCAAAAACAAAAATGTGTTACTTTCTTATCCCAGAATTCATCTGGCTTCACCACACAAACAAGGGACACCTCAGCTGGAACAACATTCTATAAAATACAGAAAAATAATTACAAGTTATACATGTAAAATGAATAGTTTATTAAAGTTATAAATCATTAGATAGTCATGATTAGGCTATTTAAGAGACCTTTGGAGAAGAATTAAAATAATAAAGTAGAAGAAATACTCCAAACTTCAAAACATATATAGCAGTAAAGTAATAGTTGAAAGACAAGCTGATTCAGAAAGGATTATAAGTAAACAGCAATATACACAGTACATGTGAATTATTTTTGCGAATTACTGAATCTCTCAAACAGCAGTATGTATAGATTAAACTGCAAGACAACTTCTGGTTGAAAAATTATTAAATCTATGACATGAAAATTTTTTTCTAACCCAATTATCTTTGAAAAATTCTTTAAATAATGTAAAATCAATTTTCTCACAGATTAAGTTTCTTACTGGCCATTATACAAAGGTGCCAAATTTTTGTGATTTTTAACTTGAAGAAGAGGACAGAGCTAATCTTTGACAAATACAATTTCATATTTACTAGATATGGTCATTCATATTACCTAAAAATGGAAATTAACATTTTTCGAGTTAATAAATATTCCATGTCTACTTTATCAGTAAGTCTCTTAGAGTCTACCTTTAAAAAAAATCTTAAATTTGCCCATTTCTACTACCTACATTGCTATTATTCCAAACTAGTCAAGCCTTTGAAATACCCTGTTAACAGGCATCCCTGATTCATGTTTTCTCATGCTCAGAATAAATGCAAAGCCCTCCCAAAGCCTACAAGGCCCTGAAAGCTAAGGGCGCCAGTGATTCTCAGATCTCACCTCACACCTCTCCCCTCTGACCTCTCTCCTCTCCCACAGCTATGCTGACCTGGCTGCTCCTAGAATGTAACAAGTCTATTCCCACCTCAGGACTCTTCTCCAGATATTTCCTCTGTCTGGAATGTTCTTTGCCCTATAGCAGGAATACTCCTTCAGTTCATTTGAGGATTATACTCAAATATTCCCTCTTCAGAGACCTTCCCTGACCACCCTATCTAAAGTAGCACCATCTGACTCAGTTTCCTTTTACCACTATATTTTTCTTCCTTCTATTTACCACTATCTGATGTTTCATTGTCTAGTAATTTGCCTAACTGCTTACTGTCTAACACCTCGAGTAGAACATAAGCTTCTTAACAGCAGGTACTGTACCTATCACATCACTCTCATGTGCCTGGTGTACAGGAGACACTCAATATATATTTGTTAATAAATGAATTCACATTAACAAGTGGATATCATATTCCCAATTTTAAGGAAGAAAAATTGAACTTTAGAGAACTGAAGTAACTTGTCCAAAATAAGAATTAAGTGATGGCACTGTAACAGTAACCAGGCCTGTCAAACTCTAAAGTTCTACCACGCCATTTCCAATGTTCTAGAACAGAGGTCAGTAAATTCTTTCCAAAGATCCAGATAAAAAATGTTCTGGGCTTCGCAGGCTACACAATCTCTGTTGCAACTATTTCTATTCTGCCCTTATAGTGTAAAAGAAGCCATAAACATTATGTAAACAAATGGCTGTGGTTGAGTTCCAATAAAACTTTATTTACAAACTCTAGGGACTAACCACTGTTCTAGACCATAAATGGCATAACGGAATAACAATGCCTAATTACATAATTATAATAACAATAATAATGTTTTTATTAATTACAGAAAACAGAAGACCTTGTTATTTAAACATGTCACTGGACACATCACAAATCCAGTGTCCCCTGAAATTACTGGGCTGTGAATAAGTAGAAGAAATTCAAAATAAAATCAAAACTTTTATCAAAGGGAATAGAAAGTGTAGGGTAGATTAAGGTTTATTCATATACTGACTTGTGAAAGATTATTATTTCAAAATCATTAAATATTAAAGCTGTGAGAAATGAGAAAGCAAGTCTCCCATATGAGAGAATGTTAGTTACAGGCAGAACCAGCACTGAGTTCTGGGCTCCCAAACAACACCAGCACCTTCTGAAATAAAAGCAATAAATGACTTGTATGTAGAAACCATTTGACTAGGAGTAAACAACAGACCACTGCAATTCCTAAAAATGTTAACTATTAATAAATCCAAAAGTCGTTAAAATACCTATTAGAAAAGAAATCACAAGAGGGAATTAGATAAGTCACCCATTGACTGTTAATTCAAAACTGCCAATGATCAAAGTTCAGCTCAAAGAGCAAGTCCCAGCTCATCTGTGACATAGCTGAATGATGGCATGAAAGGAAGAACGCAGGTCATAATTAATGGATTTCTCACCTAATAGTTATTTTAACAACTTTTACAGAAAAGAGTTAGTCATCAGGGTTTGGAATATGAAAGTGCTGGGATCATCTCTGACAGAACAGTTATTATGGGACACTAATCTGTGCTCCGATCCTTGCTCAGGAGACGATGTCCTTTTCAACTCAAGGAGTGATTCTAAAGATGAAGGCTTAGGCCAAACTGTTAAGAATGAGGTAATGGACACCACCTCAGGTACCTCACCTGATAAATATAAACTCTGTAAAGGATAAAGCTAAGTTCCAATCACGGCTCTTTTCCATTTTCACTACAAGAACCCCGCTAAGTTATTTAAAGTCCTTGAGCTTCAGTTCATTTTCAGGGATAACAGAACCTGCTTCCCCACGTTGCAAGGATAAAATTAAATGAGATAATTTATATTGCAAGCTTAGTACAGTACCCGAACCCTATTAAGCACTAAACTAAAAAATAAATTACCAGTTTCCACTCCTTGAATCCCTTTTTCTAATTATCCCAAATACAAGATACAACATTCAGTCTCTCTACTTAATTAAAAATATTAATCATATTCCTTTCCACAAAATCCTTACGTACTTACCAATTATTTCTCAATTCATTTAAAATTCTTGATCTTTCTCTCAGAATCACTGATGTTTACCTAACTGAATGGTCACTATCCTATGTAATTGCCAACTTTTATTTCCCCCAAACTGTCCTGCCATCAACTCCCTTCAGTGTATTTGCTTCATTTCTGAGCTATCACTAAGTCAGTGTCTCTGCCAGGAATGCTCTTTTCACTTTCTTTCATTTAAATTATACAGGCTCTTTTGTTCCACTCATTTAATTTTTACCTTAATTGTAGCTGTTCATTAAATGCTGATTTGTGAGCTTGTAGAGTCCCTGAAGACACAGCTGTTAAGTAAATTTCTTCTGCATTAGAAATAAATAAGACCACCTTGAATCCTGGTGCTTTATGGAGGAAAGGGAACACCTTATCGAAACCACCTCAGAAGCTTCTTCAGACTACGCATACCCAGCCCAGTGCTATCAGAATGGGGTGGAGTGAGGAGAAGGCAGAATTACAGTCTGAAAAAGCTCCCCGGTGAGTCCCATAACGTCTGCCCTCATGCTTTTAGCTTCACTGTTCTACTTGCTTAAATTACTTAAACGTGATATATTTTTGACCATTTACAAACCTTTAGAATATGGATGAAATTTATTTTACCACTCAAAGCCAAACCTACAAGAACTGAATTAATGTATCAACCCAGTTGAGCTGTGCATTTCAGAACTCAATCACTGCTGAGAAGCTTGGGCACAGTCCTATAAATGAAATGCATTTGCCATTATCACCTTATTTGTTGTTGTAAAATAAAACCATTTCCTGATAGTCAAAAATAAAATTACCTGTAGCATTAAGACTACTGTTTTCACCACATTCCACTGTGATTTTCTGCCATCCACAATCACGGTAAATCCTCTAGCCTTACACTTTTCACTGAAATGAAACAAAACTACAAAATATTAAAATAAATTTCATATTTTATTCTTCATAATCCTAAATGAAGTTTACATCTTAATTGCATATGGAGCAGAATTTCACTTGGTTTGGTTTACATTGGCCATACAGAGTATCCTTTTGAGTTTTCTCAAGCAATTTATTTTTCTCACTTCAGGATATACGAGAATTTATAAGCTAATTTGGCAAGAAAATTATTTTAAAAGCAAGGAAAGCCACTTTCTTAAAAAGAGAAGATATCAATGTCACATCCAAATAGTCTCACTGGTCTCTCAATTTCTTCATCTATAAAATCGGATCACAGTGAAGTAGGTAACTAATGAATGCCAAGCGCACACGTACTTCTTGTCTCTTGCTGTCAGAAGTATAAGGTTTGTAAAGGGATAGTGTAAAACAGGTAGAAAATAAAGTAAGCTGTTACTAAACCATTGGAATGTATTTCTTTGTGTTCTTTTGGAGAAATGTAATGGGATGAGGTAGCATTTGGTGTTCATAACAATTCAAAGCTTGAATACACCATCTCTTACCTACCTCTGCTCTCACTTTTGCACTCTGTCACTTCGCCATAAAAATATTCTTTTGTGTGTTGGAAAATGTGTTATTGCTATATGTTATATTCAATTATTTATTAACAGTTCCCAGATGCCAACTCTAATAAAATGCAACTATATGGGAAGCCTCCATCCTAAAAACCAAAACCACATAGCTTTATTATTATTATTGTTTGACTTATAAAAACAACTTGATGCTGGGATCTGAATTGCTCTCCTACCAATACAGTGGAAGAAACCATAGAAGAGCAAGGATTTGGTAGTGAAACCTCTCCCCACTCAAAGTCCTCCCAATCGTGTACATTACAGGCAAGGTAAACAGCAGACTCTTTCCTCAGACTTAAATCCAAAAGTCTAGGGGATTTTGCAAATCCTCCCTTACTTCCTCGAAGAGTTCACATTAACCTCAAGAGGGTTCTTGGAGAAGTGATGTCCAATTCTATTGAGAAACAGTAAGATCACAATGAGGATGATATTGCTAAAGATTTGTAAGAACAGGTGTGACTATAGGCAAGGATAGAAACAGAGGTTCCACCAAAAAAAAAAAAAAAAAAGAAAAAGAAAAAAGAGAGAGAGAAGTGTTCAAGAGGTGAGACAAATTGAATCATATGTCTATAGAAAAATCTTGCACACTAATGTTCATAGCAGCATAATTCAAAATAGCCAAAAATAGAAACAACCCAAATGCCTATCAACTGATAAATAGAAAACAAAATGTGGTTATCCATACAATGAATTATTCAACCATTAAAAGAAATGAAGTTCTAATACATACTATAGCATAGATAAACTTTGAAAATACTATGCTAAGTGAAAAGCCAGGCACAAAAGCCCACATATGATGTGGTTCCACTTAAATAAAATGTCCAGAATGGGCAAATCCATAGAGAAAGAAGATTAATGACTGCCAAAGGCTGGAAGGAGGGGAGAAAGAGGAGTGACTGCTAATGACTACAGGGTTTCTTTTCAGGCTGATGAAAATATTCTGGAATTAAACAGTGATGGTCACACACAACCTTGTGAATATACCGGAAGCCACTTAATTGTACACTTTTACAGGTTATATGAATTTTATGGTATCCAAATTATAGTTCAATAATTACTTATCTCAGGTATTGAGGTATTCTATTTTTGGATTTTGCATTATAAACTATAGGACCCATTAAGCATTGTTTGGGGGGAAAAACTGAGGCAATATAATGATCACTTCTAGATTAGCAACAGTGCATAAAGACTTGCTGGGGGAAGAAAACCTGACATCTAATGGCTGGTTGTGAGATCGGGTAAGGAGAAAATTCCTGGAGTTCCCCACCTACAAGACATCTACGAAGACCACTAAGACTTAGGGAGGACAAAAGCTCAAGACAGACCAGCTAGATAGGGTAACTGGCTGATGAGTGGCTTCAGAGAAGTGGTAGCAAGTCAGGGACTTTGAATGCATTGTGGGAATTTGCAAGAAGGAGAGCCAAGACACACAGCTCCCCAGTGAAGGGCATTTCCTGGTTGGGACTAGGGCCCAGAGAAGTATGCCACTCCCATAATTTGATACCTTTTTGTCACTGGCATCCGCACGTCTAAGATACAGGTTACACAACCATTTTATTACAGAAGTTTTACACAAGGCACTTATATTTCAAAGCACACTCTAAATTAATCAGTACATTAAGACAGAAAGTAATGAAGCTTGCAAATACCATCTGCAATGATCTTAAGGGCATGAAATTCTCCAAATTTATCTTTTAGGATACGTAAGAACACTCTTAATCATGATTTTCTTACATTTTACTAAAATAATGAAAATGCACATAATCCAAAGACACTATTTGAAAATTGCAAGACCAAGTGATCTTTCAACTACTTGAAAGGGAGGATAGTTTTTTTTTATTTTTTATTTTTACTTTTTACTTCATTCCTCCAAGTGGAGTGAGTTTAAACTGCTTTTAACAACACACTTAATTTAGATGCATGTTATGTCATTTATAAAGGACATGATGGAGGAGCTGAAGTGCTGTTAATAAATTCTTATACTACCTTATTCATTAACATACTTATAATTATATTTTAAGAATAACCAAAAAAATCTATTAAAACCCTGCCTCCCTGTTCCTACTCTGCTAAGAGGCTTTCTAAGGACTGAGTTCAACAGGTAGTAAAAGAGAAGAGTCTCCTTGCTCACTAACTTTGACTAGTTGTCAATGGATTTCCTGGGTTCAGTATTCTGTAGCTCTTCACTAATTTCTCTGATTAAAACAAAGGGCTCTTTTTCTTCCACTCATAAAGCTCTGCTTACACTTACATAATGGTACTAATTTCACATAGGCTTTTATTATAACTATTGTTTACATTTTATCTTCATTAGCTAACATGCTCCCAAAAAGCAAGAATATTATCTTATTGATATCTTGGCAGCTTCTAGCATGGTGTTTTAAATACAGAGGGCCTTTAAAAATGTTACGAGGTTCAGTCAAATCACTCCTCAGTCAGAGAGCAACAAGAGCTTCCCTTCTCATTCCAAAGTGAAGCCCTTACCATGGCCTACGAGGTCCGCTATGATCTGACTGCAGCCTCTCTCTCATCACTCTCCCAGAGCTCTGCTCTTCTCTCCAACTGCTCCAGCCACACCAGCCTCCTTCCTGATCCCACAACATGCTGAGCCTGCTCCTGCCTCAGGGCCTTTGCACTGACTGTTCCCGCTGTCTTAAATGCTCTTTTTTAATGCTCTTTTTCTTTTCTTTTTAATGATTTTATTTATTTTTTAGAGAGAGGGCAAGGGAGGGAATAGGAAAGAGAAACATAAATGTGAAAGTGAACCATCAAGGGCTCTTGCACCAGCCCCAACAGGGGACTGGGCCTGTGACCAGGAATTGAAATGGTGACCTTTGGCTTTGCGGAACAATGCCCAACAACTGAGAGACACCAGTCAGGACTCGCAATGCTCTTTCATCAGATATCTGTAGGGCCTTTTTCTCACTTCAGTCACATCTGGTAAAATACTATCATTTTGTAAAACACTGATTCACACACCCTTCCCAACCCATCCCTCTCTTGACTCTTGTTTCCATAGTACTGGTGAACATTCAACATACTGTGTATTTATTTGTAACATTCGTTTGACTATTAAGAAATAAGACTGGGTCTGCTTTGTTCACCCATTTCCTCACCACTTAAGACCTTAATGTCTGTATAATTTTTGGCAAGTCATTAAACGTCTGGGTTCTTATGTTTCTTCTGTAACACAAATGAGTTTTTCTATAAATAGAAAGAACCAATTTACAATCCAAATTTGAATTAAAAATTGTTTTTAAATTCAAAACGTGAGAAAATGGAAAGGTAACTTTTATACATATCAGATCTCTACAGAATCAAGACTAATCTGGAGACATTTTTCAAAATCCTGATGCCTGGGAGTCAACCACCAGAGATTCTGATCCAAATGTTTTTGCGAGACCTCATCAACCTTCAGCCCCCAAATATTGTAATATGGGGGAGGCAGATGGGGAGGAAACTTTTTGTTTTTGTTGTTGTTGAAGTGAGGGACAAGTGAAGCTCAAGCAAATAGAAAAGTTTAAGTTTTGTCAAGAAATAGGAAAATTAAAAATCCAAGGACCTTTGGATTAAAATACAAACATCTTTGCATTTTTAAACTAAAAATGTTTTAAACTTCTAATATCCTTCATTCAATATATTAAAACATGCATATTTACATCTGTATAGTGAAACAGCTACCTAAATAGAAGATACTTTCTATTCAACATATTTCTCTAAATTTTCTCAAGATGCACAATAAATAAATACTCAATCATGTTCCTTAAAAGTTGACAGTACATACATTTTGGAAATCTGGATATTATTCAGTGCATCAAAAACATAAAATGAGTATTTTACCTCCTTTAGTATCATAAATTATTGATCCTAGTGTTTCTAATTATAACTTCACTGTTAATAAAAGCAGATAAGATAGCAAGGTATATTTTAACAATAGAAGGAATCATTAGTAGATAAATGAAGACATATTGAGATTTAAGAAAAGACACCTTGAGAGTCACCTGGGAATGCTGAGTAGGTAGTCTAAGGTGACACTCAGCTCATCCATATTTGTCTGTTCCAAGCATAATGGAATTGTCAGGATGAGGCCACTTCGTCTGTCCTTTCCTCCTATTAAAGAAAAAAAATGTAGATTTAACATGTAATAGATATTAAAGCACTAAACAAATAATATATATTGGGATCCAATGTTACTGAAACAACTATAAGTTTAGACATCATTAAAAAAGAACTAATGGCTATTTCTTTTACATACTATAAGTGTTTATAGTATTTTAGCAAAATTATATAAAATTTAGGAAAAATAAGAGGATAAAATTCACCCATGATATCTCCACTTAAACATAGCAGTTATCCTTTTAATTTTCTTCTCTTTAGTCTGCTTCTTAATGTAATCAATATATCAAATACCTATTGTATGCCTAGCTAGCACCATAAGTATTTACAAGTAAAATTAAATAAATTTCCAATCAACCTAAGAAAACCTTTAAGCCCTAAGAAATAACAGTATGAAATATGAGTTTATTTGCTATGCTGTATTATATAAAATATATATTAAGTATAATTTAAAAAGGATTGAAAAAATTATAAGAGCTGCAATAAATGTGGAATGTTTCCTACAAAATTTAAGACTAAAAAAAATAATTAGAATTTATAAACCAAGTCAAAAGAGCATTCTGTAACAAGGAACAACATGAGTTAACTCTCAAAGGTCAGCTAGGCATTCTTTGCTCATGAGGCAATAAAGAGAAAGCCCTGCTCAGCTGAGAAGGGTACATGGGATCTCGATAAAGAAGCCTAAAAGCCAGGCAGTGAAACTTAACATTTCATGTATGTTCAACTCCTCTTCAATTTTCCAGAGGCATTAAAATTTAACTAATACTTTTCATACACATACAGCTTGTTTTAAAGTAGCCCACATGACTGACTTTTCACACTGAAGCCCATCTTCTGACCCAGCATACACTATGGCAATTTTAGAAGCCTAAAAACCAGCAGATACTAAAGGGAACAATTCTATGTGACTTAAAAGGCATAAAATGAAAAAAAAAAAGACTCTTGTAAGTGACATGAACACAATACATGATGCACCAACCATATATCACCTCCCTTTATTTTTTTTTAAATTTATTTACTTTTTAAATACATTTGTCTCTGCCTCCCCCCTACCTCTTTCCCTTGCCCCCTCCCTCCTTCCCTCCCTCAGCTCTTCCCCTTTGGTTTTGTCCATGAGTCCTTGCTATATGTTCCTTGACTTTCCCCTTCCCTTCCCTTTCCCTGCCCCCCCCACTTCCCTCTTGTCTCTGTTGATTTCTTTTCCTTTCAGTGTTGCTGGTCATATTTTCCTTGCATCTTTGCATTGTTGGTTAGGTTCCGCTTATAGGTGAGATCATATGGTATTTGTCTTTCGCCCCCTGGCTTATTTCGCTTAGCATGATGCTCTCCAGTTCCATCCATGCTGTCGTGAAGTTTAGTAGTTCTTTTTTTCTTTCTGCTGTGTAGTATTCCATTGTGTATATGTACCATAATTTTTTGATCCAATCATCTACTGATGGGCATTTAGGTTGCTTCCAACTCTTGGCTATTGTAAATTTTGCTGCTATGAACATTGGGGTGCATAGGTTCTTTTGTATTGGCGTTTTGGTATTCTTAGGGTATAGTCCCAGCAGGGGAATCACTGGATCAAAAGGCAGTTCCATTTTCAGCTTTCTGAGGAAATTCCACACTGCTTTCCATAGTGGCTGCACCAGTCTGCATTCCCACCAACAGTGGACTAGGGTTCCCTTTTCTCCACAGCCTCGCCAGCACCTGTTGTTTGTGGATCTGTTTATGATGGCCATTCTGACTGGTGTGACGTGGTACCTCATGGTGGTTTTGATCTGCATTTCTCTGATGGCTAGTGATGCTGAGCATCCTTTCAAATGCCTCTGGGCCCTCTGTATCTCCTCCTTAGAAATGCATCTGCCCAGGTCCTTTGCCCATTTTTTGATTGGATCGTTTGTCTTCTTGGAGTGGAGTCGAGTGAATTCTTTATATATCTTGGAGATCAAACCTCTATCTGATGTATCATTAGCAAATATATTTTCCCATACAGTTGGCTCCCTTTTCATTTTGCTGATGTTTTCTTTCGCCGTGCAGAAGCTTCTTATTTTTATGAGGTCCCACTTGTTTATTCTTTCCTTTATGTCCCTTGCTTTAGGAGACATATCAGTGAAAAAATTGCTGCGTGGGATATCTGAGAGTTTCCTGCCAATGTTCTCCTCTAGGACTTCGATGGTGTTGCGACTTATATTTAAGTCTTTTATCCATCTTGAGTTTATTTTTGTGTATGGTGTCAGCTGATGATCCAATGTCAATTTTTTGCATGTAGCCGTCCAGCTCTCCCAACACCATTTGTTGAAGAGGCTGTTATTGCTCCATTTTATGCTTCTGCCCCCTTTGTCAAATATTAGATGTCCATAGAGACCTGGGCTTATTTCTGGGCTTTCTATTCTGTACCACTGGTCTATGGGTCTGTTCTTGTTCCAGTACCAGATTGTTTTGAGTATGGTGGCTTTGTAGTAGAGTTTGATGTCCGGTATTGTGATCCCTCCTACTTTGTGTTTCTTTCTCAAAATTGCTGCAGCTATTCGGGGTCGTTTATGGTTCCATATCACCTCCCTTTATTAGGTCAACCATATAGATTACTGATATTCAACAACTTTATTCATCCTCAATAAATGGTAATTTCAAATGGCGCAACTTAACAGGTAATGAATAGTGACTTTCAATTATATGTTTTCTGTTTAGAATATGTTTTGTTTTTTTAAAAAAGATTGTTCCCACAGTTTTCAAACTCTATTCCCTGAATGATTTTATTGGTTTGAAGACTTTTCTCTATTACTAAAAAAAGTTTGAAAATTAAGTATTAATTTAATGGTTAAAATAATTATGGTCAATAGAGAAGGTCAAGAGGGGGTAAGCTAAGAGGTCCTTTTTTGCTCCTCAAAAAAATGCTAAGCTGTATCCCTGCATTAAACCAAATCCAAAAAAAAGTTACCCTCTCTGGAATGTAACATGCTGACCCACTGTGGAATTGTGTTCAGAGGACAGGTCTAACATTCAAAACTACATTTAACCTCATGCCCTCAGCTCCCACTAACAGACAAGAAAGTAATCACTGGTGTAACCCTAAAAGAGGGCAGAAGCCAAGGGGAGAAGCCCTGCAAAACAGGTAAGGTCAACAGAGTCAGATGCTGCACAGAGACAAGTGTCATAAGGAAGCAAAAGTGTAAGGGTAAACATTATGAAAGAATAATAATATTCACTTTTGGCAATAGTGTGGGCAAACAAGTATTTTGAAACAAGGCTGTTAGAGGGCAATCTGACAAAACCTAACACAAATTTTGTGTAAATTTTCTTTAACACATCCACTTATTAAAAAAGACACAACTGAACTTGTACAAAATGCACAAACTATGAATAAAAATGTCTCCTACAACACCATACATATCGGAAAATGGAGAAAATATAAGTGTCAACTGGTGAAGAAGTTTCTTTATAAAAAAGAAAATATATGTTAAATAAGGAAACAATAGTACTAGCGGACACTATCTTATTTGTCCTTTATACTACACTAGAAAGACATGCTAATTTACAGGGATACAACACGCTTTGGTAAAAAACAAAAACAAAAAACATTAGCAGCCTAAATATCAAGAAAATTCTGATAGGATCTAAAAAGAGTAAGAAAGAAAAAGCGAGATAATATCCAAAAAACCATAAACAGGTGTGCCACAGTACCTATTCTAATGTAAAGCATGTGCTAATTTACACAGTGACCCAAAATTCCAGAAAGTCACGACACCCAGTGTACCACGCCACTGCTCTCACACTGATAGAATATCTCACGGCTTCTCTCTGACTCTTCTTGGCTGACAGAGACCTTGGGGTAATAAGTGAAGGTAAAATCAAGCCTATTCAACAATAAAAAGTGATAACTGTGTAACTGATATCTCATAACTCTTCTGGCACACTCCAACTTTCTCATCGGAAGATGGAAGACAAAAGATAGCATGCAGAGTATCACAAAAACTAATCACTCTATATTTCACAAACAATTATTTAGAAGTTATTTAGTTAATTATTCTTAAACTGTATCAATTATTTCATGTTCATATAAGAAGTGAGCCATCATGACATCTCCCTGTAGAGGTCATTCTAACCAAATTATGGACCAGAATAAAACCTGGCCAGCCAAGAAATAACAGTGACAAGTTGGCTCGCACAGCTCCCTTCTGATTAAAAGATGTCTCGGAAATATCTTTGAAACAAAACCTTCATAGAAAAATGAAGTGCCTTTCTGCCAAACTCATCCCAAAAAAGAAGAGCATTTAAACAAGTTTATACATCAAACACTTTCAATTTTAAGACATACCTGAAAGGAAGGCCAGTTTTTTCTTCAGAATGGGTAATATTACTGAAGCCTCCATTTTACTCCAGTGAACTTCCTTACTTCTGAAAACACAAAAAGTTAAATGTCAATCACAAGATGATTAACTACTCTATGAAGTTTATCCTTACAATGGCTTGCACCAGATTTTCCAAATCTCAGCATTGCATACATTTTGAGTTGGATTATTTACTCTTTTTTGTAAGGCGCTGCCCTGTGCATTGTATAATATTTAGCAGCATTCCTGGCCTCTATCAGTAAAATACTGTCAGCACTCTCCATTCCCAGCTGTGACAACCAAAATGTCTCTAGAGATTGTTGAACATCCTCTGGCAGGCAAAGTCATAGCCAGTTGAGAATCACAGGCTTAACTTTTTCAGAGGAACACTCTTGGCTAGACCAGTGCCCAGTACATCTCAGTAACTCAATAAATTAAACTGTTGAATTAAAAAAAACAAAAAACAAAAAACAACCAAACAGGCAATTATCTCACTACTGGTCTCCTTATTAATTATAAAGTTAATTCCAAATACCTAATGCAGTTCTACTAAAAAATGGCTTTCTCAGATTTCTCATTTTTGTTTCTCTACATTGTATGATAACCCATCTTTTCGTCATGTTTACCTCAACATATTTTTTAATGCACTGTTTCCATTTTTGCCCCCACTGTTAGCTATCTCCATCTCTCCACATTTTGTATTTTTAAATTCTCCAGGAAAAAATATGACTAGTCCAGTTCATCTTTTTCTACCACACCATAGTTCTGGTTTGGTTTTCTGGTGTCCAGCTGGCCACAGCCAGGGATAACAGCTAACACAAAGTGGGACTATCCATATAGCAAGGGCTAAGGGACAAGACAATTTTCCTTACAAGGGAAGGCTTGGCCAGCCCTATATACTATCAAAAAAGGATTTCAAGGAGAACGAGACCTTTTAACAACAAAAAAAGAAACTCAAATGTTCAATGCTACTATCCACCTATATTTAGTTTCATGCCTGAGAGAGTATTCTGCATCCTATTTTATTTATCCCCCTTTCCCTTGTCCCGCCTCACATCCACCCACCATCATAATATGTAGTAATAGTTCCTTGGAGTACACCATGAAATTGCATTGTATTTAGTGAAAGCATACTCTTTTTTTAAAACAGTCTCTTTTTAAAACTGAGCTATAACTGACAAATAACATTATATTAATATTTGTATATTAGAAGGGATCACTACAATAAGTCTACTTAACATCTGTCACCATATGCAGCTACAAAAATTTATTTTCTTGTGATGAGGACACTTGAGACTTACTCTCTCAACAACTTTCAAATATGTAATAGAGTATTATTAACTACAGTCACCAGAAAACATGCTCTCAAAACTAATTTTCTAGGAGAGTAGAAAACATGACTCTTCGATGTGGAAGCATTTAATTATTCGGGAAATACTTACTATGAACCTACCCATTCTAGGCATTGCTACTGTGCTATCAGCTGGAGCTAAAACTAAAGTCATAGCCCTCCCCTGGGCGGGGGAAGGTGGAGGAAAGTAGCCTTAAAAAGCAATCCCACATACTAAGGAAAAAATGTAGGCAATATTCGTCAGGTAATAACTAATAAGCAAGACCACTTAAACAAGTATATTATTTTGCAGCTTTTGTGTACACAATTTTTTTAAGAGTTTTTATTTATTTTTAGAGAGGGGAAAGGAGAAAGAGAGGGAGAGAAATATCAATGCGTGGTTGCCTGTCGTGCACCCGCTCCTGGAGACCTGGCCCACAACCCAGGCATGTGCCCGACTGGGAATCAAACCAGCAACCCTTTGGTTCTCAGGCGAGCACTCAATCCACTGGGCCACACCATCCAGGGACAATTTTTTAAAAATGACCACTACTGGCACCTGTATACCTAGAACACACACTGTCAAACTAAATACAATATATTCTTATCAAGTTTTATCCTTGAATATTTGTTTGCAATTTATTCATTCATTTCCATTCTACAGCAGCCCAGGCTAACAAAAAATTAGTAGGAAGTCAGAAATAAAAGCTCATATTTTACATTAATCTAAAACCAGTAATACTTCGTGTTTCCAGATCAGTATCTTGACAATGAGGAGTTTGAAATTGAGCTCTACAAGAACCAGACAGCTCCAATTCACAGCCATGGTCCCTTCTCCTGTGATTTGAAAAGTTTATAATGATGATAATAATGATGACTATGAAAATTAACATTTACTATGTTTTACTACAAGGCATGCATTATGCTAAGGGATTTATTTGTATTACCTTATTAAACCTCACAACATTTCTATAAGGTAAGTACTATTATTATCCCCATTTTACAGACAAGTTAACTGGAACTTAAAGTTGAACATTTCCTGACATCTCACAGCTAGTAAATGGGGAAGTTAGGATTTACATCCAAGGAATCTGGTTCCATTACCAATGTTCTAACATCACATTATCAGTTTACCAATAAAACAGCTCAGAAAATATCCAGTGACGTTTGACTAACTGAACAAGATGGAGCTTTAGACTACACACTAAATTAAGGTATCTAGAGAATACATATGTGTATGTGACACTGCCTTGATTCATTCTAAGGCACCAGCACTTTTGCCCACCATTTCTTTTGTATTATCCATGCAAATGTCAGCAGAGTGAAAGGGGCAAATAATGCCTAAGAATTACTATAAAAGTAGTCTGACCACGCAGACCTTTGAAAGCTAGAAACAAGAGAACTGCTGATCCAGGCTGTCAGTGATATGCTCATTGACAAAGGAATTTCAACCTTGAGGGAGTAATGCAGATACAGGAACAACTTAGTCATAGAAATAGAACTAACCCACTTCCAAACTAGACTTTTCCTATGGTATGAACACAGACAAATGTCCAACTGCCTTTGATTCCTTCTTATTTTGAACGTTTTTCTCCATCTTCCTCATCAATCCTCTGAGTTATACAACATCCTTCCAATAAATCCCCTTTTCTGCTTAAATTAACAAGAACTGAGCTCTCTTTTAGTCAACAGAAAAACTTGATTGGTATAGGAAACAAAACTGCAATTTAGAGTTCAGTACATCATGTCTGCAGTTATTTTAATGCTTCTTTGTTAAAAAAAAAATCTGCTGCCATTTATTCTGAATGAAAATGTTCAGCAATCACTGAGGTTTTAAGCCTTGCCACATAAAACCCAATTAACCAGCACCTAAGAAAAAAAGAACACCTGAACTCCTATGATCCCACAATGCATAAGAAATGAGAGCTGCACCCTGACCCCTGACCAGTATGGCTCAGTTGATTTGGCATTGTCCTTCAAAGCTAAAAACCATCAGGTTAGATTTCCAGTCAGAGCACATGCCTGGGTTACAGGTTCAGTCCCCAGTCAGTCAGGGCTTGTATGGGAGGCAACCAATCAATGTTTCTCACATTGAGTTTCTTTCCCTCTCTTTCTCCCTCCCTTCCTCTATATCTAAAAAAAAATAAAATAAAGTCTTAAAAAAAAAAAAAAAGACATCTGCAGGTGTCCAAGGTGACACCCTTGGAGTCTGTGTAATCTAAGCTTTGCAAGCCGGGTTCTTGATTTTTATGCCAGCAAGTGCCAAATGTTTCACCACTGTGATCCCCATACTCTTAGAGCTAAAAAAGGAGATGCTTTCAGTCTTTGGTCTAGATTTATTGTGGCAAATTATGATATCCAAAGAATATTTTAAATTTTATCTCTGTCTTCTGAGATAGACGCTTTATCCAAACTCTTCATTACTTTACAGAACCACTTCAGCAAAATATTAAATTGTTTTTTTTAAAACCCAACATCTCTTTAAAGGACATTCTGAAAGTGATGAAAAAGTAATTTAAAATAATGAGAAATAATAGGTTTTTGGGTATGGAAGCCAAGATCAAATGAACTGATGGATAAAATATGAACAGTCAAGAGATGAAAGCTATAATGTTTATTCTTTATGCCTCTCTTCCCTTCTAGAGTCTCCCTTTCTATCAATCTCTTTTACTATTGTTATAAAAGAGATGGTAATGAAATATAATGATTACTGCACCACTAGTTCCAATTAAATTTGGTTTTTCAAAAGGTATTTGCTTTTGGTTTTTTAGCAGTCATATAAAAGAAACAAAAAATAAATTTGCCTATCTTTGATTATCTTATATGTCTCATAGTAGTTAAAATAATGCACACACACACACAATCAAAAATCTTGCAAAATATAACTATTCACTACCATCACCACAATAAACTGTTAACATGCTCTTCTCTAATGGGAAAGATACAGGTCATTATTTTTCACAGGAAGTAATTTATTCAACCTTCAATATATTTGAGTGGCGTATATTCACAAACAAGAAATGAAACAATGACATTTATCTGATATGAATTAATGAACAGTGACAAGGAAAATATTTTTAAAGTTTTTTAAAAACTTGCCAAGCAAAGTAGGTTAAAAAATGGAAAAATTAAAAATTTCACAACGTGCTTAATAAAAACGTGTCATACTTCATGTATGGTCATTGTGACTTAAGTCACAATTTATTGACTATAAAAGGCAGAAAGCCAGAGTTTATAGTAGATGAGGTGCCTTAGAGACTGGTGAATACATAGAAAAATGTGCAATCATACTGCACGTTACCTTCAACCAAAAACAAGATACATCAAAGCAAATAAATATCATTTCTAGGTGCGAAATAAACACTACCTATAACAGAGCCCTTTTACAGTTACAGATAATGAATTCTGAGAACTAGAAATATGAGAAGACTAAGTTCTAACTGGTATCTGTATCCATTTTCTTTGAACATCTTTCCAAGATCTTGCACAGTTAAAAAGAGGAAAACTGGGGCAACCAAGTATTTAAATTGATATATGTCTCCCCAAGAGGAGAGACCAAGTCTCACTTATCTTTGTATTTATTTACTCATTCATTCACTCATTTAACAAATCTATAATGAGCACTTACTAGATCAAGGCAAGGTTAGGTATAGGCATACCTGGTATTGAAAAAATATCTAATAGATGGATAAATGAATGAACAAATGAACAAATATATGAAACAAAAAGCAAAACAC